TATTATCAAAGTTTTTCATTGTTGTTTCTTCTTCCTGGGCTTGATTAAAGATGCTTAGGAATCTTGTAAAACTATCTTCTGCTTTCTGTAAGAAATCATTTTCAGAGGTATGATCCTCTCTGAGTATTCAGCCTGATATTCTTTTTAGCTTTTGCAATAATATATTTTTCATTGGTCTCATGTTGAACCTATTCCTCCATTTTTTCCATTTTACTTAGATCTAGGAGAAATCTACAAAAACTTGAGATTTTTAAGTCAGAGGTGTGGGTTTCCAGCATACAGCATTGTTAAAAGCCATAACACTCAATATGCAATCTCATCAGGGACCTTCCTGTATTCTCCTTACTCTTTGATATTTTACCTTGAGGAGAAAATACCCTTCAGCATTTCCACGTAGCTCCCCTCTTCCCTTCCTTCCCCATCTGCTACACACACCCACCCACAAGCAGGGCTTTGTACACCTTCGTCACCTGAAAGTTGTCATCTCTGAATAAGTATGAAGAGGTAGAGGTAAAGCAAAGAAGTAATACTCTGGCTCCTTATAAAAAGCACTTTTTCTGATTCTATAAACAATAGAATGAACAGCTGAGATCTTTTTTTCTTTCTTTCTTTTTTTAACTTTGGGGTAAAGAAGCCTGCTGTATTCTATGAAGTGGAATGTGAATGTTCCTTATTTCTGTTCTCACTTCAATTCCACCAATCCTATGGTATATGGAAATTTCCTTTAAGTTGCTGCTCTTAGTGACCTCTCTTTTATTCTTAGTCGTCAGGGTTTTATGGATTTCTGAAATCATCAATGTTTTCTGAAGTTTCTATCAAAAGACTGAAACAAACCTGTGTGAGGTGTCCAACTTGGAGATACTTAATTCCATCTTTTAAAATTATAACTTGGTCATTGAGGGAGCATGTAAGGGAGTAAGGAGAACCCCCAGAGGACTGTTTTGATGCTGAATTTCTGAACCTTTTTATACGGTTGTATGGAGAGAAAGAGAGAGATAGAGAACTTTTTTTATGAAACCCCAGGTTAGTATACTTAAGCTGATTTATATTACTCTAAAAAGAACGTTGGACTGGAGACAGGCTCTTTGAACTACAATTCAGGAGCTTGTACTGGTTAACTATCTACAGTGGTTCACATTAATTTTAAAAGTAAAACAAACTAAAAATAAAATCAATCAAATAATAAATAATCAATTAATCAAGTAAAACAACTATGCTATTTTAGACAGGCCAATAAACTCTGCCTCAGTTTTCTTTTAATTTTAAAAACTGTGTGGGATCTATAATATTTAAAAATTACTTTGCACCTCTTTAATTTCATGACATTGTAAAACCAAGCCTGTGCATTAATGATTGAGACTTGGTGTACTATAATGAGTTCACAAAGAAGTGCTGTGTTAAAATTTCTAACCTAATCCAATTTGAATTCTTCTTTCTTATGTGCATTAATGTTCAGTTTTGATTTTTAACAAACTCCAGTTTATAGGTATTGATGCTCCTATTTTTTGGCAAATACATTATTACTTATAGGAAATTTTGCAATCAGCAGCATTGATTGAAAACAGTGTGTTTCTGGTGAAGCATTTTTCTACTGTAGGTGGCTGACACCGATGGATCTTTTTCAATCCATATTTCAGTGAGAGTGCCTCTACTTAGTTAGAATTTTCCAGACTTAAAAGAGAGAACAGAAGAACCTAAACCTTATGATTATGAGGTAAATTCAGGAAAAAAGAAGTTTTGTGAGCTCTGAGACCATCCTCTCCTTTACTTGGCCTTAGTACAGGTGATGAGTACTCGGGAATGAGACCCTCATCGCTCACTCAGAGGGTATGTAGACTTCTTTCTTCAGTCACTCTAGGGCTTCACAGAAAAAGAAAGTTATCAAATTCATATCTTTTGAATAGTATTTTTATTTAATTCAGTTCACCATGTTGAACCTGGCCATTTTACGTAGAGTATTTCATTTAAATTTCACAATAGTTTCTGAAAAGTAGGTTTTGCTTTATTTAATTTATAGATGAGTAGATTAAGACTGAGGGTAGGGTACATAAATAGCCCTACCTCATACCTAATTAGGTACCTAATTACCACGTACCTAATTAGTGGTGACTCTAAGATTTTCTCTTTATTTTTTCTGACTCTAAAGTTTATACTTATAAATATCATGTTAAATGTATCAGTTAGGATTCAGTTCTTGTACATGTAACAGTAACCTGACCACAAATGAATTATTTAATAGGGTTTATTTATTGCACAGAACAAGCAATGCACCACTGGTGCAGATGCTTAAAGGTCCAAGAACCAAGCTCCTTCTGGCTTCCTCTTCCGTTCTTGGTATGTGACTTTCATCCTCATTGTCACAAGATATCTGCTCTGTCTTCTGGTATCATGCATATACTTCCAGCAAGAGAAAAAAGATAAGCGAAGGAGGAGAAAGTACCTCTCATCTAAATTTAATCTTTTTTTAATTGTTGTTCAGTTACAGTTGTCCCACCGTTTTCCCTGTTGCTCTCTCCCACCTTGTTACCCCCCTCCCACAGTCAATTGCCCCCCTTGTCCATGCCCATGAGTCCTTTCTTTATGTTCCTTGACTTGCCGCTTCCCCTTCTGTCCCCTGTTATCCTCCTCCCCCCAGACAGAGGGCCCATGGACACATGAAAAAAAATGTTCAGCATCACTAGCCATCAGAGAGATGCAAATTAAAACCACAATGAGATGTCACCACACACCTATCAGAATGGCCATCATAAACAAATCAACAAACAATAAGCGCTGGCGAGGCTGTGGAGAAATGGGAACCCTAGGGCAGTGTCGGGCTGGTGCAGCCACTGTGGGAAACAGCATGGGACTTCCTCAGAAAACGAAACATAGAACTGCCTTTTGACCCAGCAATCCCACTGCTGGGATTATACCCTAAGAATCCTGAATCACCAATTCAAAAGAACCTAAGCACCCCAATGTTCATTGCAGCACAATTTACAATAACCAAGTGCTGGGGACAGCCTAAGTGCCCCTCAGTAAATGAGTGGATCAAAAATCTGGTACATTTGCACAGTGGAATACTATGTAGCAGAAAGAAATGAGGAACTCCTCACCTTCGTGACAGCATGGACGGAACTGGAGAACATTATACTAAGTGAAATAAGTCAGGTGGTGAAAGACAAATACCATATGATCTCACCTGTAAGTGGAACCTAATCAACAAAACAAGCAAATGAGCAAAATAGAACCAAAGACATGGAAATAAAGAACAAACTGACCATGATTAAATTTAATCTTATTTTCTTAATAAGAAAAATAATAGCTTACCTGGAAGTGTTTCATAATATAAATCCACTTAAAACTTATTTGAGCAAATCTACACATATGGTTATTCAAACTTCAAGGGAGTTGAGGAATCATTTTTAAATTAAATTTAATGAGGTATAATTTACATACAATAAAATTCACCCATTTTATGTATATAGATCTATGACCTTTGGTAAATGAATACACCTGTGTCCTCATTACCCCAATCAAGATATAGAACATTTCCATCTTGAGGAGGCAACATTAACTGAGCACTTTGCCATCTGGAATAAAATTGAGGTTTAGTTTTGAAAGCAAAAAGGAATCAAATAATATTAGATTGGCAATAAACAACATTGGAATACTAAGGTTAAATATTGATGTACTTAAATAAATGATGCTTTGAAAAAGCAAAATTGCAAAACAGGAATTACCCATAGGTGGCAGAAGACTTCTTAAAACATGAACTGGATAAAATTTCCAGATCTATTGGTGTCTCAGTTTTCAAATATTAAAAAAAAATATTTTAAAAGGTCTTTACATGTGTCAAAATTTATGGTTTAGATCAAATGAGATAATTTAGGTGAAGCACATTGAGATCTGTGAAGTTGCCTTCAATATGCAGAATTAAATAGTCAGTGTAAAGAATTGTATTTTTTTTCATGCTTAGAGGTGTTTCCTTTTGAAAATGATGATAAGCTTGACCTACTGACCTGATACATCACAGCTGTGAAATTCAAATATAGTTGTAAATGTGATAATTCTTTAACTTATTAATGGTCTATAAATCAAAGCAACATGCAGCTCTAGGCAGAAGCAGTTTTTACATTTGCATTCTTATCAGTTCTCTTTCAAACTGTATCTCTTTCAGTTTGTTAAAAATAGCACTAAATGTATCATTTCCTGAAACTATCGGAACATATAAACATTAATGGCTGATAACTTCTTGTATGATTTCACAGTTATCGCATATTTACTAAATAAAATCTTGACAGTATTATGTATTCAATGTGAAATATAAATTTTATTTTGAGAAATTGACCTTTTTGTAAGGGGAAGGGTCAAGTCAAGGAACATGGATGAAGGACCCAGGGACAAAGCCAAAGTGGGGAAGGATTGAGGGTGGGAGGTGGGGGGGGGAGGGGAAAGTGGTGGCAGGAAAATGGAGACAAATGAATTTGAACAATAAAAAATAATTAAAAAAAAAGAAATCGAACTTTTTGTAAAATGAAATAATGCTGAACTTTTGGAGTATATAGGAAGAACATCTTATTTGTTCTTTCTTTTGAAAAGAAACACTGTTTTGAAATTCACTGCTTGGAATCAGTTGCAAAATTAAAAATGAAAACTTCTTGTGAGATTTTTGAGGATGATGTTTAGAACCTGAGCTTTTGATGGAATCCAATCATTTTTAAAATGTATTAGTCTGAGAGTTTTGTCAGAATACTATGCTGAACTCAAATCTCTTACTAAAATGTGGCTTTTCCCTATAGACTTTTATTGTAACCAGTGTCAATCAATACTAGTCTTGTTTTTTGTGATTATAATTTATCTGTAGCTGAACATTATATTTGTGAAGTTACTAGTGTTTATTGAAAGTAGTATATCTGATAATCCAGGATATTCATATCTTCTGGTTCATTACTTTTATTCATTAAAAACTCTCATTATTTTATATTAAAATCTTTGTGTTTTGTTAATAAAATGCTTAGGATAGATTCAGCACTGGCTTTGCTGGTCCTTGCAGAGGCTGCCAAATTAAACATGGCCTGCTTGAAAACTTTAATGGACCTAATGAGAGATTTTCTTTTAAGCATCATGGCTGTTCAGAATCAGGTAACAGTGTATTTTATTGTTAATTTTAGTCAGTAAAGGACCTGAATAGAAACAAAACTTTTTGCTACTACTTAATTGTATACCATATTACAGTTTATAATGAGTATTACTTTTTTAAAAAAAGATTTTATTTATTTATTCTTAGAGAGAGAGAAAGGGAGGGAGAAAGAGAGAGAGGAAGGGAGGGAGAAAGAGAGTGAGAAACATCGATGTGAGAGAGAAACATCAATAGGTTGCCTCTCAACCTATTGAGAGGTTGGACCAAACCCGCAACCCCAGGTCTGTGCCCTGGCCTCGAATTCAGTTGACAACCTTTTGCCTTGCAGGACAACACCCATCCAACTGAGCCACAACAGTCAGGTCCTCATGAGCATAATTTTGTAATAATAAATTTAATTAAATGTAAATGTTTATTTACCACATATCTCAGTGTAGATTTATTGATAGATAGAGATAAAAATAGAGCAGTAGAAAAAGATTATATATTTACACACCAAATAAAAAGATTATATATATACACACCAAATAAATAAATAAGAGGGATTTTAAATTTTATTAACAAATGAGATCATATAGTTATATATGTTTTAATTTCCTTTTTTAAATTTTTAAAATATATCATAAAAACATTTTGATTATTACATTTTAGTGGGGATAATTTAATCATTTATTGTTAAACATTGAGATTGTGTCCATGATAATTATTCACAGTTATTACAAATAATGTTAAACCCATGTAAAATCTGTTTATTAAGAGTACATTTGATTATGTCTTTTAACAACTCTATAAACTTTGAAGATATTTCTTATAAGTACAGTATATCTTGTTCTTGTTATGACAGAATATGTTTGTATTGTCTAATAGCTGTTTTCTCATTTTAGAAAGAAAAATGTGAAGTAGATGATTTTTCCTGGGCCTGGAATATAGTTTACATATATATAACAATACTTGCAGAAACCTGCTTGTATGCAGCCATTTCCAAGTTGCGAAAAACTGCTTTTGTTGGTTTTTGTGACTGTAGAAGTTCAGAAAAAGATATTTTACCCTTGGACAAATCAGAAGAACAGCCAGAATTGAGAAATACTAGTATTTTAGGTCTTTTGAACTATTTCTCTTCAAAAATGTCAGATAATTGTAAGTAAATTATTTTTCTACTTGATGAGAAATATTTTTAAAATGTTTTTGTCTCCATTTAGTAATGAGCCTTTCACAAAAAGTCAACATTTCTACTTTGGAAATAATTTTAAATTCAGTAGGTCTTTCTAGAAATTTAGGAATAATATTTTATAACATAGAATTTTTTAATCAATAATTTTAGAATAACTGAAATATAAACTAGAGTCAGTTGATTTATGATTCAAATTATATTCCTTGAAAACAAAAGATGACATTGAGAAAACTTATGAAATGTATGTGTTTGTTTTATCTTTTTCACGTAAGTATTTCTCATCTATCATCTCCATTTTCTCTAGGCACCTACTGTTTCTCTTGTTCTTGTCCCACCCACAAAATTTCTCTTCAATATCTCAAATAATTTAGTACATTCTTCAGATATGATGTCCCATACTCTATCAAAATATACCTGTCTCGTGTCTCAAGACTAAAGGTCATTTGCTACTATTGTTTATGGGGGCTATAATAATTAAATACTTTTAGTTTTTAAATGGAACTACAGGGGCAATATAAATTCCAAAGTATCATTTTACATTGACTAGAATTTTTCTTAATAAATATCATTGTAGTCCACGTTATTATGGGCTATTATGTACATGACTTTCACTTCCATTAAACTATGAGATAATTCAGATTAGAGAATCATGTCTAATTATATTTGTATTTAACCCAGTATATAGTATAGTATTTAGCACATAGTAGATGGTCAGTTAATCATAGTAGATTTATTATGTAATTAAACAAATCACTGGATTTAAAATACCAAGATTTTGAAAGTATCAAAGGAGGCAAGATAAAGTTTTTTTTCCTCAGGACCATAGTTCAGTCATTATATTTTAATATAATTTTAAATAATTAGACCTTAATAGCACATATTAATTTTACTCTCAAAAACTTGCCCACTATTTTTAAATTACTTTCAATATACTTTTGGTTTAATCAGTGTGTTGGAACCTATCACTTCTGAGTGGAACTTGCTTGGCCTTTTCCCACTTTTCAAGATTATATTTATTTTCTTACTAGGGCCAATTTTAAACAGATCTTTAGTCTGATTTAAAGGGTTGGTGAAGAGGTAGTCACTTATTTTGTTGTTCACACTCTTAAACATTCAGAATAGTCAGAAATCTTCCTATACAGTAACCCAACATATGATTCTAATCTTTGAACTGTCAGTAAACAGGTTGATCTACTAATTTTAGTTCTTCAACTTTTTTGTCTAGCTGTGTAGAATTACTACTTCTTCTTTCACTATTATGGGTTCAGAAGATGTTTCTCAATAGTGAGGGCCTTTACTCCCAGAAGCCTGTTGGCTGCAGTCTGGCCATGCACCCTGAGCTCTGGAATAACCTCATGATGATAGGGTGGCATTCCTTCTGTGGATGTTCAAATTTTTCAAACTTCTCAACAGCTTGATTTTTTTCCAGCCAGTGATTATTTCATTGTATTCTTTGTTATTTATCTTTCTTAGAAATTTATTATTCTTTTATGAGGGCTATATTTTGATGGTACAGGCACAGAATTTTGTCAAATTCTTAGAAGAGATTTTTGTCTTTTCTACTTTTTATATTGCTTAGCATCTACAGTTTTATATTGTTCAGCTGTTGGGAGACGTCCTGTCTGGTTTCAGGAACTGTAACCCAGCTGACAGGCTGGAGGGCCCCAAAGCTGGAAAGAATAAGGAGGCCTTGGAGATAGAGGCTCCTGAGGAGTCATAACCTGTCCCACCTGGCAGGGGCATAGCTCCTGCCTCTCTGCTTTGCCCTGGATGATTGGTGATCAATGATGGGTAAGTTACCTCAAGCTGAGGTATACAACCTAAGACAGATGCCAATCGAATATTGGCAGCAGACAAGAAATTGGGGGACACGGAGAAAGGGCAAAAAGCCCATACCCCTTGGCTCTGCTTAGACATGGCTGGAGTCCTCATTCTATCAGAAAGAAGTCTCCTTGTCTCTTGGCGGCTCCCTTCCCCGCACCTGGCTCAGGCTCGAACCAATACAGGAGACAGTCCTGAACCAGATCTGGCAGTTCCCAGGGAAATCAGGCCTAAAAGTAAATTCTTTAAAGTGTGCTTTGTTCTCCCCGCAGAAGCTACAGCCAGTTTATTCTGGGAAGGAAATTTACATTATTCACAAACCCTAACCCTATCCCCTTAGTCACTCTTGTGTTTACTATGCTCTCAGGTTTAGTCGTCTCTTTTGTTTAGAGTCTCCTCTTGGACCCATGGGACCCCATGGGACCCATATAAATCAGTGTGTTCCTGCCATTTGTTTTCTTCAAAACATCACCTATTCTCTGTGAACATTAACATACTGATGTAATGAGATAACCTGTGCATTCCTGTTACCTGACCCCACTGAAAACTTTTTCAATAAAAACCTTTGAACAAAGGGGTTCTGGGGCTTCCCCACTAGAGGGATGTGCCACGTCCCCTCTCCCAGCAAACAGAGAAGTGTTTGCTACGACTGGTGTTTATTCTCCCCATCCGTGACACCCCCCAGACGGGCTCTGCAGGATTCAGAGCCCTGTTCCCATCCCAGTTGGCCCCGGACAGTATCCCTCAGACCCTGGGAGCACGGCACTCCCCGCGGCGTGCTCTGTCCCCGTCCCTGTCCCTCACTTGGCAGCACTGCCAGGCCTGGGACAAGCAGCAGCACTGCGGTGCTCCCACCGGCAGCGTCTCCCCCGCCCCAGCCCCCTTCCCCCGTCCCCCACCTCCGCGCAGCCCAACGCTCAGCTTTCTAGATAACACACCCCAAATTTCCCTAGCTCAAATATTGTTCTCTTACCCTATAACTCTTTCTGTGTCAACAGAAGGCCTACTGAGAATCTTATTGGCTTTCATGTGAGTTTTCTTCCTTCTGAGCAATAGTACACATTATAGAGAGCTATCTGTGAGCTTAAACTTGCTTAGTATATAATCACCCTTCGTCATTGTTTTCTTATCTTTATACACTTGAATAAGCACATTTGTTCTACTCAATATTATTGAATTTAATACCAAAGGAATAACATGATATCCAAGAAACAACAAATTCTGATTATTTTCATATGTGCCCCTAGGTGAGATAACCACCTAGATATCTGTACAATAAATGATGGTCTCAGTAAAGGTTGATACTTTTGTTTAATTACTTATTGAATAAGTCCTGTAGGAATTTCTGAATCTCCTTGTACCAAGCATTAGACAATATTATGGATCAAAAAGTTCTCTAAAAATCTCATGGTGTCATCATTTTATTCTTTTAAATGGCACTATAATAGAGAGGTAGGAGATAATCCCTAACAGACTGAGTTCTGGAAGGAGGTGTCTTTTGTACCTTCACAAGTCACGCAGACAGACAACTCTTTTGTTTTCACTGATGTCCTTCTTATGTTTTCACTTGAACTCAGCAATAAAATACTTAACCATTATTTTATCAATGTTTTCTTAACTCAGGTGGGCAAACAGGTGTTTCTAGCTGTGGAATACCTTTAAAGATTTGATCTTCAATAATGAGGATAGACATCAGAATTGACTCTTTCACAGTCAAAAGTCAATACATTTTCTAGAACATCAAATGTCTTGTATGAGTGACAAGTAATAGTGACGTTTGTGTCATAATGATCCTGAGTATTCTGAAACCCTCAATGCTTATATCATCTTTGCGGTTGCTTGTAAGAAATATTTAAAGTAAGTTGATTATTCGATGACTGTTTAGTTAAAGACATCTCAATAATGTGAGGAAATTCTGCAATTTTTTTCCTCTTTGTCAGAACCCGAGAACGTACTTCCTCTGGACACAAACTTGTGGTCCCCTTCTAATGTTTGTACTGGATTTTTGGCTTTCTTGTATCAGTTACCATAAAAAATCCATTATTTTACATGACTGTACAAATGCAGTCAAATATTTCACCAGTCAAATGGTAGGACTTGAAAATGGTGTTGATGTGACTCACTATAACCGGAATCTTTGTAGCATCGCTGATTGATTTTCTACATGAGGAAAAATGATTGTTGATAATGACCTCTTACTCTACAAGACCATAGGAAATAGATTACTCCAAAAAGGAGCACCATTTTCTGCAGGCCTTGTCAACATAATTACTGAACAGGATAAGTCTGTTTTTTGAGAAAGTGATATAAAGAACCTAAAGCTGCTGCTTTGTTTAATTGAAAATAATTTTTTTCTCATAATTTTAACCTTTAAGTAAATAAATTTTTGTTGAAGTGAAAGAACTGGTTCTGCTGTTACATGGATTTGTATTTTAATTCTGTCACTTTGTATCTTGGAATCCTAAGTCACGTTATTTAAACTAGCTGACATGAATTCTTTACCTGATAAATATGATAAGAATACTATTCATATCATAGGACATTTTGTGAGGAAAATATGGAAACATATAAACTTTGTCATAGAACTTTGTGCATAGGAAAATCCAATGAATGTTAATAGATATTATGACTGTTAATGTAATTGTCAATTCTGTTGTAATGATGAGTAAACATCAATTTTTTATAGTACTTATTTCTATGTACCCTTGTGTCCTGGGAATCCTACTTCATTTACATATAAAGAGATGACACTAAAAATATTTAGAAATGGTGTCAATAACCTCTTATATGAACAAGTCAAATAGTGTTCTTGTGGACCATTTTTATATAAAGACTTTAATGTAAAGAAACAATTCAAACCATAATTTAGTGAAGACAATGTTATAGGAAATAAAATAATGACTTCCATGAAGATAATTCCCTGGTGATCTAATCTGATATGGGAGCAGAACTTGAAGAATCTACAGGGATGAATGACTATTTAGCCTGTGCTTTTTTCGTTGTGAGATTCTGTGTCAGACAAGCTTTTCATAGAGCCAGACGTCTATTAATTCTGTAGTGAGCTTCCTTGTCTGACTGAATTGCTAAGTTTTAGTGTTTTAGTTAAATAGAAATTTCTATATATGTTTATAAATACTAATTATGC